ACACACACACACACACACAAACACACACACACACACACGTGTGCACACGCACCTGCTTGTAATCCACGCCCCACCGCCGCGCCATCATGAGCAGCGCGCACTCAGTCCTGTTGCCCACAAAGGTCATGAGGTCGGCGCCCCCCTCCAGCAGGTGGGCCTTGGAGTTGAGGGCGCAGTTCAGGGCCAGGTCCTCCGCCAGGTCAGCACGCAGCTCCTGGGGGGGGGGGTGAGGGGAGGGGGCGCAGGGTGGGTGCAGGGTGGGCGCAGGGTGGGCGCAGGGTCTGATGTTGTGAAAAGCATGTGGGTTGGGTCTGGGCAGTGTAAGGGGGTTGCAGGGGAAAGGCAGATTTGGGGATGGGACAGGGGCAGCATGGACAGCAAGCAAGGATCACCCCAGGTGATGCTGGGGCACAAATAAGAAGGGAGGGGCGCGGTCGCGGTATATTCATATGAAGATGAACGGGAGGACAGAATGAGTCCAACGGCGAATGCGCTACCGGCGATCTGGTGGCTGGACTGGCGCCGCACACCGCCACACGCGCGCAGGTCGCACGGCCGCAGGCGCCGCGACCCCGCCCCCCCCCCCTGCCCCCGCGCCGCCGGTCAACGCACCTCTTTGGCAGGCGCGTGGTCGAGCTTTACTCCGCTGAACCAGCCCTCTGTGACTGTCATCCTGTTCTCCGTGAGCGTGCCCGTCTTGTCGGAGCAGATGGCCGTCGCGCCGCCCATCGTCTCGCAGGCCGCCAGCACGCGCACGAAATTGTGGTCCTGCGGGCGGGTGGTAGCGGCGGCGGCGGCAGGAGGTCGGGCCGGGCCGGGCGGGCACTAGCGGCATGGCCGACGAGTGCTGCGACTTCGAGATGAGACAGGACAGGGCGGCCACGCGCCGGCCGGTTCCACACCTCTCGAGCCGGCTGGCCGCCAAGCACACACGCCCTCGCCCACGTTGGGGCCGTCTACAACCCAAGCAGAGCCTTCGCCATCGCTTTTACGCCTCGCGCTACCCTCTGCCCTCTTCCCAGTACACGGCGCCTCTTGTTGACTCCACGTTCCATCTATGCTGCAGTCCCCCGCCTCGAGACCCCCCATCCTCGGGGGGTCCTATTCTACATTTTTCACAGTTCATGCTCCTTTGGATTCCTCCACAAGCGCATGTACACAACCGGAAATTCAAAAACACATATGGATGCACCCACACAGAATGCAACCACTCGCGTTCACGAGTACAACACGCATATGCACACACATGCACATGAACACACATGCACCCACACACACACACACACACACACACACACACACACATGCAAGCGCCCATGCGCGCGCACACACACACACACACACACACAGAGGCAGGCATGCACACACGCGCGTGCGCAAATGGACACACACACACGTACGCGCACCTTCATCATCTTCTTCATGCTGTACGCCAGAGCTATCGTCACCGCCAGCGGCAGCCCCTCCGGCACTGCCACCACCACGATGGTCACCGCGTACAGGAAGAACTCCACCAGCCCGCCCCGGTTCAAGTGGCCCTGCAGGGCGCGGCAGCCTTCGGGGGACCTGGGAGTGCGTTTCGGAGAGGCGGCCGGGTGTTGCGTGCGTGCTGGCGTGTGTGTGTGTGTGTGTGTGTGTGTGTGTGTGTGTGTGTGTGTGTGTGTCTGTGTGTGTGT